CTTATGCAGTTGATAGGGTTTTTTCCCCCCCTTTTTTCTTTTTCTTTTTTTTTTTTTTTCCTTATTTACAACTCTTTTGATAAGCCTTCAGCAAGTTACATAGGTTGTTCTAGTTGTATCTCCTTTGACTGGATTAGAATACTTGATGACAGTTTGGATAAGTTTGAGGCAGATGGTTCTTGACATTTTTCATGCCATCAGTTACAAACCATGCAAGGAAACTCTTTCATCCTTTGTTTATCCTTCACTTAGAAGCCACTATGGTAGATCGTTAAACTTTCATTTTTCACAGTGCTGATTAAGGCGTACTACAAGGCAGATGTTATGCAGCACCATTTTTAACAATTTACATTTAGCACCAAAGCTGGCTTTGTACTTGTTCCAGTGGATCAATTCACATTTCAAAAACTTCAAGGTCAACCTCTAAGCATTGCTACTCTGTTGAACAACTAAATGTTTCATTAAGTTTTCCCCGTGACTGCAGCACTTGAAAATACGTGCTGGCCACTCTGTTTACTTGTTTATATCTACCAAAATTAATACAAGTAACTATTGTTCATCTCTGCTACAATTAAATGACAGATACAGTTCTATAAAATCCAAAGAGTTACACTAAACGGAACAAAAGACTACTACTGCAACACATAGTATATAACAAAAAAATTCCTCATTTATTTTCAGTAAGAGCATTCCAAAATAACAAATAATTACTATTCAAATAGTAGTTGGTCTTAATTTACATCAGGTCAAGCAATAACATTTCATGGATGAAAATGTTTACTGGTCTACTTCACATCTTTATGTGCATTCTTTATTTTATGATTATGCAAACTATATACTTCCTAGCACAAACTCTAATAGTTATATGTAAACAAAAATGGGTAAAGGCACCTTTAGAGAATAGCAGAATAAATACAACCATAACAAAATACAATAAAATTAATTCACAGCTATTCAATTTTTATGCTCTATAGAAAACTGAATTTTTACAAATACTTGGGCTCATCTATAGGGAATGTAAGCCATCACTTTTTCCTGATAACTATGAAATTACCTGCCTGTTTTAAGAGGAGTTTATCTGTAGCCAGTCATAGCAGTGCAGTGGAAGATCTTGTGCTAGTGACAATTTCACTAATGGGCAATGAAGGGAAAAGGAACTTTTGATAACTGAAGACTCCTTTTAATTTAGATTCCTCAAATTAGCAACATAAAATGGGGGGAAAATGGTATATATGACATTTAAAAGCGTATTTTCCTGAATGAATTGTCAAGATTTTTATTTTGGGGATTTTTCTATGCTTTTTGTCACTTTTTTTAAATTAAGCTGTAGCAATATGTCTTATTAATTATTATTTTCTTGTAGTTCTGCAGCAAAAGTTAGCAGATTGAATTATAATTTTATCCTCTGATCCTCATCACACCCTTTTCTTATGCTCAATTTATTCTTTTTTTTCCCCCTGAATCCATGCCATAAAGACTTTTCTATCCTAGTCCTAACTCCCTCAAGACTTCCCATCTGTTACTACTACTTCACCTTTTACATCTAAAACTATTTCTTATCTGCATCTCTACCCATTATTCTATTAAATTAATGTTCAGGCTTTTCTCAAATTAAAAATGGGTTTCATCTGAGTAGTTCTCTTGATTAATGACCAGAAGTCAATGAAATCTTGGTAAACATCTATGCCTTGGAAAAAACATCGGATACAAATGTATCATGAAGAATATTTTCTGTTATGATCCTCTGAAATCTTAATGTCAGCTGTACTTGGGAATGCCTTCATTTCACTTGAGGAACTACAGGCACTATAATTGTCACTCAGGCTAACAGAGATGTCGGGAATACACAGACAGCACATGGCCACAACTCTTTCTGCAGAAACCAGCTTGGAAATCTCATTAAAAAAAAAAAAAAGGTTACTGGATCTCAAAAAAAGATTTGAAATGGTGCTGGGTCGAGTTATGAATCTGTCCTAGATTTGATAGTTTTCCCAACCAAACCCTTACACCAATCTGTATTTATAAAACCTTGAGCAAATAAGGCTCAGAGTAGTCATGATTGTGTCATTCAGGAATGTGTAATGGCCTTGCAAATGCGTTGTCTCACAGCCTTCTTTTTCCATAGCTCTATCAGCAAAAACAAATATAGCAGATGAATACTAGAGGGAAAGGGTGGATTTCATCTTGTTTTTGTTACATTATTTTCTGGCTTACAACAATATTTATCATCCTACAGTTTGATTTGTTATAATTTATGTTTACCTTTTATCTTAGAAGAAAAGAGTATCAGCCCTCCAAGGATAATGGAGAAGCCATGTTATTTAATTATTCCAAACTATCTAGTGCTTTGGTACACAAAAGATAACAGTCAACATACTGCTACAAGTTTGCTGATATGCAAGCTGTGGTCAAGATAAAATATTTAACAGCAGAAAAAATACACTTTATAGTGCAGCTGCTATAATGGGATTTTAAATAAGGAAAAACAATTCTGTTTATTCTCAGTTTTGAAAAAAAGTACAAAGCTAACTACATTCATCCATAAATTAGCTGGATAACAAGGGAAGATCAGTGGATAATGGAACTTGACCGTTTAACATACACACACCAAACAGTGCAGGAGAGAGAGGAAGCACATGCAGGTAACTGTCAGCAGCAACACCATCAACATATACAAAAAGAACTGATGTTATCTTGGAAACAGTGAAAGTAAAGCTTAAAGAGATTGCACTCTCATATTGCCCCCAGGTTCATTTCCAGACTCAGCAGAGCTTCCTCTGTAGAGCTACATGTATTTGAATGTTTTTAGGAATAGAGAAGGAATAAGGGAAAAAAAAATAAAAATAATAACATGGACCACATCCTTGTAAACTGGTGTCACTCCATGGAAACAGATGCAGCAGTGCCAGCTTGTGCCAGCTCAGGATCTGACATTACATGGAAAAATCCTGAGGCACCTGCAATTCTGTGGGGGTAAATAATTTATGAATACATGAAATGTTATGAATACCATATTTCTGAATATTTTTCCATTCACTCCATCCTGATCCTTTCACAGACCATGTTCTTTAAACCCATTTATTACAAGCTTCATGGTCGAATTGTGACAATGACAATTATTTGGCTGATCCCCATCCATTTCAGGTTTTTTGCCTGCTGCAGTTTTTCTGGGAGGTGAAGAGAGGTGACTATTTTAGTATATTCTTCTTCTGACAGTTCTTAGAAAGTGATAGACAAAGGATAGACAGGTAATCCTTCTTGATTAAGAGGACAGATACAGTCTCTGTTGGCTTCTCTAATTGCTTTTGCTGCACTATAAATTTTATTTCAGCCTTGCTCAAATCTACATTCTGTTTTTAGACCTAGCACCTACTAAATATTAGATAAGTTTCTCAAGTCTACTAACAAGTCAGATAAGGTGAAGGTAAAAGGCTGGGTATAACATATCTCTAACTGAGCACCTCACTAAAACCCTTCTCCTAGGATCCAATATGCAAACCTAGAGATCAATGATAGAAAAAACAGTACCCAGCACTAATACAAAATTCATTTTTTTGGAGGGAGAATCTACTTGTTGTCTGTGAACCCCCAATTCACAGCTCATCCGTTACAGAATTTCTCATCAGTGGCTGAAATTCTGGCAAAGCCTGGGCATCCATTCTCTCCAGGTACAACTTCTCTACAAGAATACTGCTCAGGGTGATTTTACCTGAAAAGCAGCCAAGAAATTCACTATGGATCAGAAATAGACTATTGCATTTCTAGATGCCAGAGATAAAATGAAGTGTGCTTCCAGATGTGAATGCATATATGCAAAACTTCACTGCAGCAAAAACATTCTGGTAGCAAGAGTTTCATACAGATCCTACATGCAAATGTCTCTGCAGATTCATCTGCAATAGAGATGAAATGTGATGTGAAGCTCCAAGGCCCAAGCTGAGGCTTCTTGGGGTGGATTTGCTATCTCAAGTCCAATCCTGAGCAGCTTCCTAGACTCCCTCTGTCCCTGCTCTCACCCAGAGCAGGAGGTCCCTGCTGAGATGAGCATGAACAGAGTTTATGTTGGTACCTACCCCCCCACCAGAAACATCCTGTGGGATTTGCATGTTGGGAACGTACACGAACATGTAGCAGAACCAAACATTTATGTGGGCCTTGCGAATCCTACTTCAGCCCCTTAAGCAGAAACCTTTATTCCCATTGCCTGCTTTTGGATCAAGAAATCCTGTGTTATGTACACCTTTACCAGCAATGCTAGAGGAGCTCTACTCTCCTTGAATGTGCACAATTTCCCATTAGTCTTCCTGAGATTTATGCATGCATCCAAAGAGAGAATGGCTCTCTATGAATGTTTTAACAATCAGAACAATGAAGCATTGTGCATCAGACTGTTAAAAATGTTTCTAAACCCTGTGTTCAATACACACTACTTGATTTCCAAAGCTACTCTGGACAGAAATGATTTAGAAAACAACTCACAAGTAAAGTAAAGCTCTTCTAATAAAACAAATATTTCACAGTTCATTTAATCTAAGATATTGAAAAGAACTGCCAGTACTCAGGTACGTGACCTGAAGCACAGAACTTTATTGCTTTCTCCACCAGGGATTAGAAATGTTTGGAGTAAAACAGTTGCTGCTAGGCAGGGCTTCCTTAAAGCTACCAGTCATATCCCAGGACCACTTATCCTTTCCCAAGCAGTACATAAAAAAAAGAGGGGGAAATTGAGGTCAAGAAGATTTCACTTTTATTTGTCTTTTATCTATCACATTGCAGAACAAATTAAAAATTCCCACCTAAATGAGCAAAATAGTTTAAAGCATTTGCATTTGGTAATATGTATTAGGAGCTTTACATTTTCTCACAAATTTTTTTTGCTAGAGGAAGTGTTTTATTCTAGAAGACCATTTGCCCTGTTGGTGCAACAGTGCTCTCTCGCAGTTCTTACAAAAATCTTCTATCTCACCATTTGTCCTCACGCATCCCTCTATTTCCCCTTCTCTTCCATTCAGTAAGATGCTTGTTCTAAGGGCACAAGAGTGTCATTAAGGTGGTCAGTCTGCAGAGTTGTAATATTTATGCATAATATTTGGAACAGACGAAGTTCATATCACTGAGACAATGTGAGGCCTATGCCCTGGACATTCTGTGCTGTGTGGCCAGTTACAACTAAATAGAGATTACAGATATCAGACTAACCAGATGGATAAATTAGTTTTCAACAAACAGATTTTTCATGGAGTGGAGTAGCTAGATTTTCTCACTGCACACTGTTATCTATTTTACGTTCTAGCATGTTAATAAAAATCAAATTATATTCAGGGAACCACAGCTCTTCTGTATTAATCTCAACAATCCAATGAATTATCAAAGTTCTCCAACTCTAATTTCTCTATGAGTTGATACTTTTGCAGTCTGAAATAACTAATGCATTCCCAAGGAAAAGAAAGTTAGTAAAGCTAAGTATCACTCAATCACAAAGTTTAAACTGAGTCTAATTAGCAGCATCAATGCTCTCTGTTGTTTAAGTACAATAAACTGCACAAGTGCAACCCCAGCCAAACAGCACACCTGTTTTCATATCTAAACAAAGATCAGATCCACAGTGCTAACCTTTTATTATATTAACCTCCATGGACTGCTTGGAAACCTGTTGAGGAAGGACACAGGAAGAGTGTGTGCCATAGGAAAATGCAGCAGCACATTCCAAAAATACTTGTAATAACGGTGAAACTTCTGAAGCTCTCACCATACCCAAATGAGAGATTAAGACCAAAACCACACCTCTCCTACTATATTTCCACAGCACTAATGCTGCCTACAGAATTAACTCATCTGAAGGAGACTCAAAGGCTTGTGCTGTTACTTCTTCATTGTCTTCTAATCAAAGATAATTTGATGAGTGAAATTATATTAAAAAAAATCTCCAATAAAACCTAATACTCTGAACTCATGGAGAAATTTAATTCCAATTGAAATCAATGGGATTTATGGGCCTAAGTGCCTTTGGGACTCTAAATCTTAGTATATATTTTTCTACAATGTAATAATCAATAGTTCTCAAGGCGAGAGGACTAGTAATGCTCCAGATCCCTTATGAAGATGAGGCTACTTTTTACCAGGTGTCTCTGAGGAGACTGAAAATAATTATTTGCTTTCTTATAGATCATCAGAAAAATATTAAAAGTTAAATCAGTTTCTTTTAATAAATACATGTGAACAAGTATCAAAGTGACAACCATTGATTTATTCATCTGTTTATCAGATATAGTGACTGAGCAAACCCCTCTTGCTAAAAGATTCACAGATAAACAAGACATCCATTGACAGCATAGACTATGATGAGCTGTTAGCTCTTGTATTGAAAAAATACAATGAAAGTTTCATAAGACATTAATAATGTGTAGCCCTTAGAAAAAGAATCAAGTAAAAATGATTTTTTTCCATGTTATTTTAAGTAAAATTTCTAGGTACAGAAATGAGGGCGGGGAGGGGAAGGAATATAAAATCACATTAAGCGAAAGTATAAAGTTTTCCTTCATATAGATTTTACATATAATTTTCCAGTTTATATTTTTTGGTATAATTGCATGATCAAATGTGTAAGATGCTAGGATATTTCAGTAATTAATATAATGTAAAGCAATACTAATGGAATAGCTTAGAATTGCTAGTTCAGTAGTTTGCTTTCTGCAAACTACATCATGTTACTGTATTGCTTTACTTAAAAGAATAACAAAATATTTATTTATGAAAAAATTTATTCTTCTAGACACATTTCACCTGATTGTTTGCACTGAACTCTAATTGCTCAAAAGCTTGATTTTCAAGTACTTGGTATCAGGAGATCACTTTTTGACAAATATGGCAGCTTTACATGAGAGATCAGCTCTTTTGAAAAATCAGGATTTTACTTACTTAAAGTTTTAAATATTTCTTCTGTTGGATTTTCCACCAAGTCATTTCACAACCTCCTATATTATTTTGACAGCAGTGAGTTGGCAAATTTCTCTTTCATACACATCCACACAAAGAGTGCATTGCCTTTGGAGATGGCTCCAGATAATAATTAATTGGAAATTGCATACATCCATTAGTAGAAGAACATCTAAGCAAACAGAAATGAAACAAAAAGAGCACTGTTTAGTAAAACCCTTGGAACTTAACCTGGGCTTTGCCTGCCCCAGCTGCCAGAAGGGGGTCTGAGTTGGGCATTTTCACAAAATGCTTCTAAAAGAAATCTGTTTCTCCTTCAAAGAAAAGATCTATCACAAAATAAAAAATATCTTGGTTTTCTACTTTGAAAAAGCTCTGGAGAGAAGGAATTTATTTTACTGAGCTAAAAGCAAAAGCAACTACCACACCATATAGTCAACTTCTGATAAAGCAGCTTGCTTATAGAAAAGCCCATAAATGCAGTATGTAAGTATGCATATAATATTCAGAAGTTTGTACATAATGGATTGGTTAGACTATCTTAAACAAGATTTGGTGAAAGAAAACCAGTAGGCTTTGATCTTTGCTTAAATAGATCCACCTAACATGAATAATTCACTCCAATTCGCTCCAGTTGCAAGGTGATGAGAAGTACATGGTAGACACCAACATGATGGGAGTCCTTTGATAGTGTCCATTTCCAAAGAAACCAAACTGAAATTCTGTCTTCAGTCACAAATGAAAAGGCAGGATTCAGACATCAAAGCATCCATCTTTTTCTAGAAAAAGCAGAGAAAAGAGACATCATTTTTATGCTAACAAAGGTAGAAATAATGCCTGTTTTCTCTCATCTTTATATAAAGCCATGGACATTGCTGGTCTATTGTGGATTTAACATACATTTTGAGAGCTGGACCAGCTCCATACTGACCAATAACCACTGCTTTTATCCCAAAAATCTGCACCACAGTTTTGTCTATGTGTAGCTCTTGTGTGAGACAGTCATAGAAAGAAAGAGCATTACCTTACTTCTCACAGTAGCTCTTGATTAACCTGTCTTTACAAAGCTATTCAGTATTTCTAAGTTACCTACCTTTTCCTCCTCTATGCTGCCAGAGCCATGGTTAAAATGGGGAGCATTATTTTCACACAGCCTGTCTGATTTTATCTTTCATTAACTTGCAAAGAATAAAATGCAGAGCAGTTTGGAGGAAAAGCTGTTCTTCAAATACCTGTCCTCTTATACTTCATGTGCTTCTGGCTTTGCAGTATTCTTAGTGCTCAGTTTTGAGCTCAGCAGTGTTGGAGCAAGTGGAGCAATAAATTTGCTTGTGACATTGTAAATGCCTTTTTACATGATTGCTATTCCTTAGCAATTATCTTTGCTAATCAATATCTTACAGTCTTTGGATGCAAGGCCCAGATGAAGTTCTAGCTGTCATATTGTAGGCTTCAGATGTTTTTATTGGCAATCAAGACCCAGCAATGTGTCTTCAAGGAAAACAGAGACAGGTCAGGGACTCTTCTCACGGTCTGATGTGACCTGAGTTCAATGTGTGGAGATGGGAACTGCTTTAAATTGACGTCCCATACACCGAGTACTGCAACAATCCATAGTCAAACCTTTTTAAAAAGCTACCATTCAAGTTGTGATCAAGTTATGTGAATACAAATTCTAGCTAGGTACAGACTGTGATTTTCAAATAATTTCCTGTTTTACAGTAGTTTCTAAAATGCCATGTTTGACGGTCATGGACAGTGATCTAGCCAGCTCTGAAGAACACAGATCATTCTTTAACAGTTCCAATGTGAATGCAGTCCAATAACTTGTCTTGGTCTGTACCAGAAGCTGCATTAAAAGCAGGACTCCATGGACATGTCTCCTTAGGAGATGCCTATTTTAACAGAAGATGAGAAAACAAAAGAAAGTCAGCCACAATATTGTATTTTTCAAAGTTCTGCAGTAGTGAAGGCTTTTAGAGATTTCCAGGAATTAATACCCTTTCAGTCAACCAGCTGAAGTATGTACAGAGTGGAAAGAGAAAATGACACTAGGTGGATCTATACTTAGGCAACAAGGAAGACATTTCTCTCATCTGCTTTCTGAACTACTTCTGTCCCTAGATCTGGCAACTTGGAATAGCTCCAAATTCCAAACCTCAGTGGAACAGCACTACATTGTACCATCTACCATCTACTTAAGAACTCCAGCATTAGGTATTGATAATTTAAGGGTAAATAGCTATCCTGTCTATGTATCTATCTTGTGTCCATGGATGAATGACTAGCATAATATATTTAAGTTATTTAAGATGAAAACAGCTATTTGTAAATTGTTTGCCCAAAATACAAATGTAAGTTATGAAACTCTCAGTGTTAGAAACCTGGTGCTTGATATTCTGCAAATCTGTTAGACAGGATTCAAGGCCTATATATGTGTCCAAACAGCATCACTGACCATTTCTTACCATTAGCATAAAATTCTCCAAATTGCTTGTCAGTTCATGAAGTATTTAAAATATTCAGTAAGCAACTAACAAATTGTTACTAATGCTATACATCAAATAAAATTGCACTATGAAAAATTGAAAACATGTTATACTTGAGCTGCATTTCAAATTATATGAACTTTCCTTTTTCTCTGCATTTTACCAGAAAAAGAATGATCCATACCATTAAAAAAAAAAAAAAAAAAAAAAAAAAAGAGTGTTTCTTTATTTCATTATAGTACAGCAGCTTTTGTCAGTAATGGGACTAGGTTCTGTAAATGGTGGGGCCAATAATAGGCCAAATTAAATTCTTAGATTACCAGACAGGTTAGTCAGGCACTTCCCAGTTACATCTTTGGGTTATTGTTTCTTATATTATACCAAGGGATATGATCAAGACATAGTGCATTTAATTTCAATTTCTAATTTTCTTTGGATAGATATTTAAATATGTTTTTCTCCTGCTAAGAACATTTGCATTAGGAGTTCCTTCCAATTGCTGAAAAAAATCTGAAGTTGCTGAATTTTCAGTGGAGCTACTGGGCCAAACCTGTTTCTGATGTAAATCTAGATAAATGGATTTAGTGCACCAACAATTGGCCACAGTGGTGTTTTACTTACCCTTACATATGCCTTGCCTCTCAATTGTATTCAATTTTCTATGGAACACTGCTAATAAAGATACCACTTCTAATGTTTTAAAGATATTTGAAGGCCTTGTAGAAAAAAGGGGCAGTTTTAATAAATAATAATCTATTCCTACTAGTGACTACATTTAGAAATATATAATCCTACAAACAATCCCACCTCACATGTATAAAGAAAAAAAATCACAAAATGAAGTAAAACCTTGCAAAGTAAACAGAATAATTATGCAAAGCTGCACTGTGGAGCAATTTAAGGCTTGGCCAATAGTGGGGGCTAATACTAACAAGAGTTTATTCTAAAAATAGCAGGAAAAGAAGATATATAGTATGCAACTATATTATTATATTATTATTATTCAAATGAAAATAATAAAAAGCTTTGTTTTGAATGATGCCTTCTGGGATTTTGCTTAAAGAAATCTTCTCCTTTCCTTTAATTATATTTGGGATAGAGTGAAACAGCCTTCATATAACATCTACTGCCACCCTTACAGGCGGCTGTGGTCACATGCACTCTTTGATGTGTGTTTTCAGAAAGTACAGCCTATTCCCCAAGTTTCAACTTGACTGAGTCAACCCAGCTCAGCCAACTGTACCACTGAAGACAGCAGCATCAGTCTGATGATAAACTGAGAAAGCTCATTGCACATCGAGCACTTACCTATGTATAGATACATCAAAACACATTTGCCATAGCAATTTCAGTTTCAGGTTCTTGTACTTTTTGTAGGAGTGCATCAAAACCATAAACCACTTTGACTTTTGCTTTGGACACTGCTCAGAGATACAGCAGCTCTCTTGCAAAATTTCCTAGTGACCTTAGTGGCTTAAGCAATTTCCCTGGCGCCTCATTCTCCAGATGTAAAGGGAGGGGAGTGTGATTTATTGGTTTGGGTTTTTTTACTTACTGCTTATTTCAGAGCAGTGAAAGACACACCAAAACCACAGACTTCAGGCAGCTTTACTCTGTCAAGCATTTAAGAATTGCTATTCCTAATCAGAATATCTATAGACACTAAGATATTGCAGTATATTAGAAAGGCTTCTCAGTTCTGTTGTGATTAAAAGAAGGAAAAGACAACACCCATAAAATTCTAATTAGAGAATTACTGACTCTAAGAGAGATTTTCAGAGGAGTCTGAAGAATGCAACACCTTTATTAAAAGGGATTTATTTTTTAACAAACCCAGCACTAGCTTGTAAATCAAACCAGCCTGTCCCCAACTTCCAAATAATTCTTGTTTCTTTTTGTGACCTACTGGCTAGTGCCATCTTGCCTTATTTACACTGCATACTATCAGAAAACCATACAAAAAATTTCAAACTTCAATTTCAGCCAACAGTAATGGAGAGTGTAACCTACACTGCCTTACAAAAGCCTCTTGCATCTGTAAGTAAATTAAACTAAACTTCTGAAAAACCTGTCTGCTCAATGCTATTGTGAACAGTATGAAGTAGATGGGAGGCAGGAGCACGGATGGGGTATATCCCATTTGCATAAGGAAGATAGCTCCTTTGTAAACATTGATACAGAATGGCAAGTCTAGCAATGACTTTTTCCCCCCTAAACTCTCTCCCCTCTGACTTACACATCCTTGTAATATATACTGCTGTTTTGACTTGAGCTATGCACCCAAATAGACTATTTGTGGAGTATTTGTGATGCACAGATCTATTATGCACAGCTATCAGAGGTCAAACACAGAGCAATTCTATACCTCTGATGTCAGCCTGAACAGAAGCATTGTTCTTGGCAGTGACAGGAAAAAGGCACCACATCCAAATTACTGAAAGCCTTCTCATGGCAGAAGAAAAAGCTGTCAGTTTAACAGCTGAACACAGAAGGTTCAACCAGTATATATCCTTCTCATTCAAGTAACATGAAACCCTGGAAAAAAAAATAGAAAGAAAAGGGGAAAAAAAAAAAACTGGAACTGTGTCAGATTTTTTAAGTTGGAAAAGCTCTTGTCAGTGCTGAACAAAGAAAACCAGCCATTTGTGTTGCCATTTGTGCTACTGAATTACAGAATAAAAGAAAAAGAAGGAGCCTCGATATAAATATATAATGTGCATGTCTGTACCAAAAGAGAAAATATTCTAAATTTACTGTAGTATCCTATTTACACTGCAAAGTAGGATGCAAATTGTGTGAATATCTGTTAACATACACACTCATATGATAGGTATATGATGATCTATAGTAAATCTATAAAATTCGTCCCCTATGTCTATTTCCCTCTTCTGTGTTTCATTACTCAAAACAAAAATAGTTCCCTCTAATTACCAGCCTCATATCTTATTCATGCTCAGTGTATGTTCCTTGAATAGCAACCCCAAACTCCACAGCTGTACTTAAAGAGCGAGGAGACATCCTCCCTGCCTGGGGTGAATGACCCCTTCACGCATCTTTGACAAAACAGACCTTGGCATGTCAACAGCTATCTAATAATGATACAAGAAAAGAATCTTATGACTCTGGTCTATATGAAATAAAGGTGTAGGCCGTGTCATGCCCTGAGGCTGCAATCCCCTCACAGTTCCCCTGGAACAAAGTATTGCTCAGTGTAAGGGAAAGCTGTTTGGAACTACAGAAGTGATAAGTACCAAACCTTCACTTTTTTTTTTCTCTCATAGTTTTAAAAC